GGCATCGGCTTGTTGCGGACTGCTCATGACGTTGAGCTTCTGATTGAGGTTGGTCCACGCTGTGGGGTCCACGGCCGCGGCGGTCTCGGGTGCCCGTGATGCGGGCGAGGAGTTGGCTGGTGACGGGTAGGGCGCAGGCGTCTTGAGGACCTTCTTGACGGGCCGTGCTGCTGTCAGGTTCACACTGGCCGCGTTGACAGCGCCGGCGTGGGCCACCTCCATCATGGCATCGTCCTCGTCATCCTCGTTGTCCCTGTCGGCCGTTTTCTCAGCGCTTCCAGCAGCGGTGGCGGCGGCAGGGCGGTCGTGCTCAACGGGAGCTGTGGTAGGCTGCACCTTGCGGCTGGCGACGCGGACAGTCGGGGACGACGGCATTGGATCGCTCATGGGGATATCGTCGCTTGGCGGCACGACATCGCTGTGGATGGTGGGCATCATGTGGTCATCATCGTCGTTGTTGCTGTCGCTGGCCTGGGCTGGCAGTGTGTCGGCAATGCGGACACGCTTTGTCTGCCGTGGTAGGTCAGAGAGCGGCATGGCATCGCTTCGGCTGCGCTGGTCGCTTGGCCGCTTCTTGGGCATGCGCGGCAGGGCGGGCGAGATGTTGGCGTGCACCTCGCCCAGCAAGTTGGACATGAACTCGTCATCCTCCTCTGTTTTTGCAATCTGTGGGCGTGTTAGCAGAGCTTTCTCCCCATCAGCCGTCTGACTGCATTAGCCACACAAAAGGGACTGGCCTTGGACTTGGGCTGGGCTTTGGCGGCGCCCTTGGTAAAGTACTCTGCAATATTGCGGTCCTTGGCATCCCGTTCGGCCTCGTCCTCCTCGCGGGCCTTCTTGCCCCTGCCCTTTGGTCGGCCTACGAGACCGGTGCCGTCGTCTTCGCTGTCGCTCCCGTAGACGTGCGTACGGTCCCATTCCTCGCGGCCGTCGTCGGCATAGCCCTCGCCGTTGTCGTCGACAACAAAGTCGTCCTGGTTCAGACGCTCGCGCACAATGTTCTTGTACTGGTTCTCGTCAACCTCTTCGTAGAGTGCATTGTCGTCGTCGACCTCGTACGAGTCAAAGGCCGTCTTGCCCGACTTGCGCATCGCCCGCAGGCTCTCGAACTTGGAGCGGCGCTCCCTGGCCTTGGACATGATGGGCAGGAGGGCGTCGAGCAGTGGGACGGTGTTGTTGGTGGTATCGTATGCTGTTACTCTTCTTCTCGTATGCTGTCGAGACTTGGCGAGGATATGTAACGTCAAGGTGGTGATAACGAGCGACTAGAACGGCGGCTGGCTGTAACGAACCGACAGGAATAGAGACGAGGAGACAAAGGGAAAACGGGGAAACGGGCTATGGGCCACTCCTGAGTGTCGTTGTCTTGTTGGCAAACAACTCGTCGTGGATTGGTGTTTAGAGGTAAATTGGGGGGGGGGCCCGTTTTGCGGCGGTGGGTGGTGGCCGTGGCGTAAAGTGACAGTGGCCATCACCAGTGGACCTCTCACCCAAGGAAGGAACAGACGGTGACGAGACGCGCTACAACGCGTTCATTGAATCGATTCTGGCAGGGGCCATTTAGCGCGCTTTTGACGCGCGAGTGGGTCGCACCTGCGAGAACGCGCTGTCCGCTCCGTTAGATTTGGTGATAGACACGGTGGTCTGAGCACTGTATGGGGCTTCGACAGGTACGAACAGACCTCTCAAATTTTTGGTGGCTTATCGATAAGGCCAGCTGCACCTTCCACTTGGGACCAGAAAAAGCTTCACTCCACTCGAATTGTTGCACCCTGCAAACATCGCCGATATCCGACAGTCGAAAATACCTCCATTGCGACACACCCCATCATATAGCCCAGCATGTTCATGTGCAGAGCGTGTGCAAGGCGGTGGCGCGGCCCTCTGTTGGCCCCATCTGCCGCGCCCAGACTGGCGGGACGAGCACAACACATACCAATGACATCGTCGTTCTCGACCACAACAGCGTCTTCAACAGCGTCTACAACAGCGACGGCAACCACGATAGCGACCGTGAGGGTCGCGAGGACACTGCGGTCGCAGAATAGGTTCGCCGCGCGCCGTCTTTACACGACGGCAGGGGCACAGGCAAAGGCAGAAGCAGCAACAGGAGCAGCGACAGAAGCAGAAGCAGAGGCGGAAACAAAAACTGGAATAGGCTACGAGCACGGCGAAATCTCGCGGATATTCGACAACGACAAACGAACACGGGGAAGGACTGTCAACAAAAGTGCTGACTGGTTCGAATCAGACGACATTAAAAAAGAAACGTCGGCAAAGGTTAAGGGGGCCGCGGAAAGGCTGAAACTGAACGAGAGGGTCCGACAAAGACTCGCCTACATGCATGACGCGTATGCTATCGCACAGTGCGTGACGGACATGCTGGATAAGAACCGCTATGATGAGGCACTGCACATGACGCGCATGGCCAGCAAGCAGCACAAAGTCACCGTCTGCTGGAACCTGGTGATCGACCACCAGATGCGCAACGACAGGCTGAACGATGCCATCAAGCTGTACAACGAGATGAAGAAGCGCGGCCAGCTGCCCAGCACGACCACGTACACAACCATTTTCCGCGGCTGTGCCCTGTCACGGCACCCCAAGAACGCCGTCCAGCACGCAACGCGGATCTACAACTCGATGCTCAGCAACGAGCGCATCGTGCCCAACCGGATCCACATGAACGCGGTGATCAACGTGTGCGCACGTGCCAAGGACATCGATTCGATGTTCAACATTGCTGCGACGGCCGACAACCGCTCCCGCGTTCCCGACAGCATCACGTACGGCACGCTGCTCAACGGCATGCGCCACGCGACGGTGAAGCCGCACCACCGGCCGAACCAGACCGGCGATTCCGAAGACGCTGTGTTCCTGGAAGCAGAAAAGGCCAGCCTGTCGGTGGCACGGGGACGGGCAGTGTGGGGCGAAGTGGCGAAAAACTGGCACCAAGGCGTGCTCGTCATCGACGAGCAGCTCGTGTGTGCCATGGGCCGCCTGTTGCTGCTGGGCAGCAAGAAGGACAATGATGACATTCTGTCACTCGTGGAGCAGACAATTGGAATTCCGCGGCCTGACAAGGGAAAATCCGGGTTTGATACGGTCAAGCAGTACGGAGAGGAAACGAATGAGGGTGCAGATGCGGACGCGAATGCGAATGCGAATGCGAATGCGAATGCGGAGGCGGATGCGGATGCAAGTGCGTATGCCGTCGCAACCGTGGATCAGCGGCCAGTACTACAGTCAACATCAGACTTTGCCCAGATGGAGAACATGGTCTTGGGGCCAGCCGCGCCGGAAGCCGTAGAGAGTGCCGAGTTCTTCAGCAACCCGGATGCCCCCAGACGGTCAAGCTTCCAGTACGTGCAGCCCGGCAACAACATTCTGTCGGTCATCATCTCGTCCCTGGGCACAACCCGGAAGACGTCGCTGGCGCCGGTCTATTGGCACATCCTGACGGCCCCGCCATACAACGTGCAGCCTGACTCGGAGAACTGGTACCGGCTGCTTCGGACGTTGCGCCGCGGCCATGCCAGCAAGAAGGCGGCCGAGATGATGCAGCGAATCCCGAGTGAGTTCCTGGAGCCCAAGACGTTCCAGGTCGCCATGAGCTGTTGCGCCGCCGACAACCTCAATCCGAACGCCTTTGAATCGGCCGGCCAGATCCTGGACCTCATGGTGCACAAGCTGGTCGAGCCTGACCCGCACACAATGCGGCTGTACCTGCAGACAGCCATCACTTGCAACACCCAGTTCCGCAACGAGACCGACCCCGTGAAGCGCCAGGCGGCCAAGTTTGCGTTTGGGCGGCAGCTCGTGCGCGCGCTGGCCCGGCTGTGGGACCCGTTCCGGCGTGCCAGCAACGTGGTGTCGTACGCCGGCCGCGGGGCCGTGCCGCAGTCGTTGTCGCCGACGCCGGAGGAGAAGAATATGGACCCGCAGATGTACAATGCCCGGCGCGAGCTGATGGCGCTGGCGCGGCAGATGGTGTCGGCGGCGGACATGGTCGTGTCGGAGAACATGGCGGATGAAAAGACGGTCAAGGACCTGCGCGTCAGCCGCAACCTGCTGAACCGGCAGATCACCAGATTCTACGCGAAGCGCGAAGAGATTGAGCCGAACCTGAAGAAGGGCAAACAGCAGTCAAACAACCAGAAAGGCCAGGCGCAGACGAAAAGGGCAGGCAAAAAAAGAGCGGCTGCAAAGAAGAGTATGGAGGCAGAGGTGATTGAGGAGTAGACTGTGGAGGCACTGGATGCGTCGAAGAAGGTGAAGAACGATATTGAAGAAGAGAAGACATTGAAAAGGATGATGCACAGTAGTCCTTTGGCTGAACAAAGAAAACGCTGCCATATTTCACATCTCATTGTATTCATAGTTTCAGACCAGCCATGTACACATAGACATTCCCGGTTACATATTCAACTTGCTAGCATAGAGTGCTGTTGACTTTCTTATAATTTCCTGAGAACCGCCTTGTAAGCATTGGAAACGTTGGAAATGTTAGCGACCGCCTCTGGACGATGTATTAATATTATATGGTGAGCCCTGGGAGAACCATGAAAAAGTGGACCAGGCTGTAGAACGATTAGTGGCGTCGTTAGGCGCTGGACAGCCTGCTGCAGGTGCCCCTGCATAGGCACCGCCGCCCTGTTGGCACAGCTCCTGACCAAGCGCGGTCGACACGTCGTTTGAGCGCGCCCCATTCTTTTTCGCCCACTGCCGTTCTCTTTTCCATTTATTCGTCTCTCTCGTACCTTTAAACACGTCGTTCCAGCTTCGCCCATCACGCCCAACACTATTGCCCAGTCCCCGACGCCTCTCTGATTGTCTCCTGCAATTTCGTAATATCGGCTTCGCGATAAAAAGAAAGCGCAAGCTGCGGTCATCGCGCGCACGCGAGCGAAAGCAAACGACGCTCAAGCTGAAAAGGCCTCATCGAGCAAGCGATCAAACAACCAAACAGCGTCACAACCCAGAACATCGCAGTCGTGACGATGGCGAAAGTAGCAACTGAATTTGAGAAGATCATCAACACTGGTGCGGTCCGGCCTGGCATGCCCTTTTCGTCCCAGCGTCGTCTGGACTGAGTACTGACTTTTCCCATCAGATCGCTCTCGCAAGAAGAACACGGCCCTCGCTGCCAAGATCTTTGGTAAGGACCGCCGGGCCAGCGCCCCGGTCAAGGCCGGTGGTGCCTTGGCCGTCCGTGCTGGCGTACAAAAGGTGTGTCTACCGCCCCCTGTCCTCCCCCAGTGATCCCGTCTGTCTGGTCTTCTCGCTAACTTGTCCAGCGCGTCTCTTCGACTTCCGTGCCGCGCGCCGGCAACATCAACACCGAATGGACTCATGACCTGCACGAAGGCGGCGGCAACGGCAACACTCGCAAGAGCAACGGCAACGCCAAGAACGGCGCGAGCGCGACAACGGGCTCGCTGGCCAGCCGAGTGTCACGGCCGGGCGAAGCACCAAAGGGCGGCAAGGGCAAGCTGGCAAACAACAAGAGCGGCAGTGGCCGGGGAAACGGTGGTGCTGGTACCGTACAGCTTGCAGCATCGACAGCACGCGGCCGCGAGGCGCGCCGTTCGGATAGGATCGCAAATGCACTGAACCGTGCTGACCTGCAGCACCAGTCTGGCACTGCCACGAACGCCGGTGGTGGTCTATCGATCCGCGGCATTGCCGCCGCCGTCAACGAGCCCCTCGTCGTCATGGCTCAGAACTTTGCGCCCGGGACCACGGCCGCGGACATTGAAAGCGCCATGACGCCCGTTGGCGGGCTGGTCAGCAGCTGCCGGATCCTCAAGACGACACCGCTCGTCATTGCCGAGATTGTTTTCGAGAGCCGCGAGGGCGCCGAGCGCGTCATTGAGACGTTCAACAACCAGACCGCCGACGGCCGCATCCTACACGTCTACCCCAAGGCTGTGAATCACAATGTGCTTACGCCGCACAACAACAACACGCCCACGTCCACGCCGGCCGCTCTGTCGCGCCACAAGAGCAGTGGTCAGGTGGTCGATGGTTCGCTGGGCTTTGACGATCCCATGGACACGGATGGCTTCGCCGCGAGCCGCAACAACAACAACAACAATATCAACAACGGCAACCTGAGCGGCCGGCTGTACAGTGACGACCTCGTCGGGTCGCGTCCGCCGAACGGCTCTTCGAAGCCACGACCTAATAAACACGGTCGGCCTGGACGTCGGTAGGCGGTGCCTTGACGGCTGGCCGCCGCTTGGGTCGGAGCCAGCACACAATTTACGGGCCTTCGATTTACGCCCATTAGTTTCTCTCCTTGTTTTACTGACTTGTATTCATCTTCCTTTTCAACCTTGTTTTTCATTTTCTCGTTTCTTCTATGTTTTGTTATCTGATGGGCAAAATGGCAAGTGGATGGGAAAGCGAAAAATACGACACGTAAACAGAATTCCAGAGAGAACAGCGAAACCAAATACCACTGAATGATTTATAGTAATTACTAAAGTACATCGACGCAGTCGTCAAGACACAAGATTTGTAGGAAAGGTGTTGGTGAGAATCCGCCCATCCGAACTGTCGGATAGTTTTACTGCTCCGTGTGTTTTAGTGCGTTGTCAAGTGCTGATCGCCTGCCAGTCGATCGCACGGCGCACGTGCCTTTACATAACCTGCACACAGCTTAGCGGCAACAACCGACCCACGTATCTCGACTTGTCATTGACTGGGCATTGACGCATTCTGTCTTACTTCTCACCTCCGACACACCAGACCAACGACACGCAACGTCAGCTGCGGAAAACAAAGCCTTGCTGCTCTTCCACGCCCTGGATCGTCTATCGATCCACCGTCGGTCCTCACCCTCCGACACGATACGGCTTTCCATCACAGAAGCGCCGATTGCCGAAATTCCGGCGAGCTGCTGCCATCGTTCCGTCGACGCCTCCCTGTTTGCGATTCCATCTCCCAGACGTCTCTGTCCCTGACGGTCTCCTCTTGAACTCTGCTATTTGACTGTTGCCCCTGCGACGAGGGGACGGCAACCCACTATTGTAAAACCGACGCTCCCGCTTCGGAACTGCATCCGCTGCAGCCAACCATCAGCCATGGCCAACGACGAGATCAACGTCCCGTCTCTGGTCCTGATTTTGGTCGTCTCGGGCTTCATTATCCGCCACTTCTTCTTCCGCGGCTCACCACCCACAAACGGCGCACGCGGCTCTTCCGAGGCCGGCGCACGAGGTGCCGCTGCCGCGGGAAGCCAACAGGGCCAGTCGCGAGATCAGCGGCGTGCCGAGGCCCTTGACCGTCGTACCGAGGCGGCTGTCGAGCAAATCCAGCAGATCTTCCCCTATGCCGACCGCCGCGAGGTCTGGTGGGATCTGCGCCGCAACGGCGTTAATGTCGCCGCCACCACCGAGCGCATTCTAGCTGGGCGTCTGGACTCGGTAGGTTACCCCCCACCGAACCCTCTCTTCTCCGTCGAGAATGAATGAGACAGAATGAGACAGAATGAAGTACGATTGTGCTAACTCCTGCAGCCACCTGTGACGTTCCAGCCTCCTACACAGCAACCCCGGCCGAGCAACAACGGCTCACGAACGGGCAGCGCCGCCGCTGCTGGTGCAGCCAGCACGCCTGCCGCCTCCAAGTCTGGCCAGCCGAGTCTGATCCAGCGCTACAATCTCGAGAGCAAGGTCGCCGAGCTGTCTGGAGGCGCCGACGCCGAATCTTCAGAAAAACCCTCTCCGTCCGGCGGCAAGTCCAAGAACTGGAGCACAAACCGCGACGAGCGGCAAACCCTGCTCAAGAAGCGGCGGGACGACATGATTCTCGAGGCACGGCGTAAGATGGAGGCCAAGATTGCGGCCGAGAAGGCAAAGACTGCTGAAGGAGCAGCAGCGGCAGCAACAGGCGGTGATTCGGCGAGCTCATGATGGAAGGAGGGGATGTTGACTCAAAGAATGGAGAAATACCCCGAGTAATGCCTGGAAGGATGTTTGGCGAGGAATCTGTTTAGGAGCACAGTTGTCCGCACCGTTGTCCGCACCGTTGTTCGCATCGTTGTTCGCAGTTTGGATTAGTCGTCGTTTCTCCATGTTTGATTTTCCCAGCTGTACTTTTATGTCTCTATTCTCTTTCTGTTCAGGTTGCATATTGGGAGGTCCGCTTGGGTCGTCGTTTTGCGCTATACGTAACGTGCTTTCATACTGTCGCCTCTGCCAACCGCAATCAAGTTAATGTTGTACACGAACCGCCTTCGGATCAAACATGGTTGTTACGTACATCTTCACACGCTTTTACATCCCTCACTATACGTGTCTGTTATTTGTCGTATTTGTCTTGGTAACGAAGACGACTTTTTTGTGCCCAAGTAAACCAAAAACAAGAATTCTGCAATGGACATCACGCCGTAAAACGCCATTTCCCGTTCGTCCTCCGCTATCAGACGGCAGCAAGGCGTTTGTTGCTTTTGTTGCTTTTATGGCCCCAGTCGCAGTCCCCAGTCTACTCCTCCATAGCATCTCCCGTCGAGATGCCTGCAGGAACACGGCCTTCCTGCAGCTCCTTCTCCAGACGTGCAATCTCGTCGAGACTTGTCGCCGTGCGAATGCGTTCTTGCAACCGCTTGCGCTCGGCGTCCGACAGCTTGATGCGGGACAACTTGGACGGCGCAGCGTCAGAGGTGCCGTTGGTAGCGCCCGTCCGGTTGAGGCCCGACACCACGTCAAACTTTTTGGACTTGACGCCCATGATCTGCGGCGGGTTAGATGTGTACGCGATAAAACGTCACGGAGGCAGCGGATGGGTAGCGGTGGTACCTTTCTTGCCAGCTCCGTCGGCAAAATGTGTGTTCCAAACAGCTCCTCGGCCTTTCTCCGCTCCGCGTCCTTGACCTTTTGGAAGTCAAGGAAGCGCACCGTCGGGCACCGCCAAATCACCCAGTACCGGTACTTTTCGCGCTTCGTCACTGGGTTGTCCAGCAGCACCAGGTGTGTCAGCCGGCCCAGCCGGGCCAGCGGGTCGAGGTCAGACAGCTCCGCCAGCTGGTTGGACGCCAGCGCGAGGGACGTCAGGTTCGGCACGGCGTTGGCGAGGTCGGGCTGGATGGCCGCAATGCGGTTGCGCGCCAGCAGGAGCGTCCGGAGGCGGGGCGTCAATGGGAAGTTGCCGAGCACCTGGATGTCGTTGTCGGTCAAGTCAATGGCATCTTGGGGCTACATGTGAGAGTGTTAGATGGGGCAGCGGTCCAATCAACATGGGAAGTCCAAGTACTTACGCCTGCGGCACCAAGATTCTCAATGGCGACAATTCGGTTTCCTGTCGAGGCCAAGGGGCAAACCCAAATAAAAAGGAATTCGCTATCAACTCTGCTCTTCTGAAACTTGGAAAAAGTGTAGCAACGCAGGGGAAAGCAAAAGAGAGGCGGAGAAACCACAAAAGTCTCACCCCCGGCCCTTCTGCCATCTTCTTTTCAGTCACGCGCCGCAGGGAAACCCACCTCGTAAGTCGAGTTCGCGCTCTTTGAGTGGGTTCAGGTACGACAGCGACCCATGGATCAAGTCGGCCGTCAACCGCATGGTGGCTCGCTTCCTCGAGGATTCGCGCGTGTGTTGTGCTCGTTCGGATCTCTCAAAATACGCCGCGCGCCGTTATTGACGTTGTCGATGTCGAGGAGCGGCGCAGCTCCCAGGCAGCTGTGCGCGGGTTCCAATTAATGCGGGAAAGATATATGTCGTCGTAATCGGAGGATATCGCTGTGATGGCGGTGTCGCGCTCGCTGGTGGCATAAATGTCGTCGCAGGTCGCGTTTGTCGTCTGCGGTCGTCGGTGTGTAGCTGCCTCAAAGTGTAGTTCTTATTTTTTAGAAAGCAGCAGCGACTGGATTTTCTCGCCTTAAACAGCAAGCGCGATAAGGCTTTGGGATTGGCACGTTTTAGCACTGTATAACTACGGTATAACGACACATATTTACCGAGTTTCGTCACAGTGTTCGTCGTTAATTCAACACTGTATACTATACGCAACACCAAAGCACACAGACAAAGGACAATACGTGCTCTGTATATTTATTAGAAAAATGGCGATTGTATCTCCCAGTATCCCGGTATCGTCATAACGCATCTGTAAACAAAATCATCCCATGCAAAAATTATCAAAACTATGCACACATAAGCCGTAGAGCACGTCAACATGTTGCCCCCTCGTGTGCACGCTAGCAAACAAAACAACACGGATATCCAATCCCGCAAAGTCGTTCTAATCCTCAAAATCAGTGTCTGTTTATCAAATCAACGCCTTCTTCGAACTCAAAGTTCATATCTTGAAGCATGTTGTCCAAGTCCTCCTGCGTCACCGAATCCAGGTTCAGGTCGACGTTCATCCCGCCCATGTCCAATGGCATGCCGTTGACATGCTGATGGTTGTTGGCCAGGTTCATCGATGTGGCATCGCCGAGGTTCATGTCAAACACCTCGGGCATCGTCGGCAGCTGTGCCATGCCCTGCAGTGTCTGGCTGGCCGTCAGCATGCCACGAACCATTTCCTTGAACTTGTCCAGCAGCTCCTTGTCGTCGGCCGGCGTGCCGAGCTCCGGCGTGCGCCCAAGAATCTCGCGCGCCTTGGCGCGAAGAGCTTCGTCGTCGGGGAACGGCTGGCCGTTCTGAGCCACGGTCGTTCGCACATAGTCGGTTAGGCCGTTCTCGAGCTCTCGAGAGCAGAACACGGTTGCGGGTTTTGCATAGCGAGTCGTAAACGACTGGAGGAACTTGTTGGCCGTCTCCGACGGCAGCTCGAAATCAATGCCGAGCATGGTCGTGTTTTGCATCTGCGTCGCCGAGATGTGGCTCATCCCACTGCTCGCATCACCAGCCTCGTCTTCCGGAGACGGGAATGGTGCGATCGGCGTCTTGGGGAAACAGTACGGCGGTGCAAATCCAGTACCGCCCTGGGACACGCTCCATGCCGTGAAGTCTGTCGGTAGACCCGGACCGTCCTCGGCCGGCAGGATACCGACATCACGCTTAAATCGCATCAGCCACTCAGCGTTGTCGGCCGCCGTTTGGTTCCATGGATCATCACTGGACATCAAGGTTAACAATTGTACGCTGTCAGGGTATAAAAATACACACAACTCAAGAGCAAGAGGAAGCATACTCGTCGTAGAGGATCCACCGTGCCTGGTGCTGAAGCTCTTCGTCGGTGGGCACATGGCTATTGGGGTTGTTGGGCGACATCACCATGTTAACAAACCGTGTCAGCTCCCGGGCCAGACGGCGGTAGCAATTGGTGTCGTTCAGGAAAAACGGCGACGGCACCAGCATGTTGGCACTGCGGGTTGAGCGCTGTCCTTGGCTACTGCTGTGGGGACTGCCGCTGCTCAAGGAGCCCGAACGGCGGCTTGAGGTGGCGGGTTGTGCCTTGGTAATATGACGGCTCTTGAAGGCCTCCAGCCACTGTGGGTCGTCAGCTGCCGTTTGATTCCAGCCGTCGTCCAGCTCATAGATGATGAGACGCGCCTGCCTCTGCAGGGTAGCATCATCGAGTGTGAGGTCACCCGCTTCGCGCCGCAGTCGCACAAAATCGGCCAGCTCAGCCTCTAGGCGAGAATAATTGTGGATGGTGGCGTCGATGTTGCTGGGTTCGTTCACCGGCCGGCGAGCCTCGTCGGCAATAGCATCGGACCGGGGCAGATGAGCCCGCTTTCGGAATGCGGATAACCATTGCGTGGAGCTCTTGATCATCCGCAGCCAGAACTCCACAACCTTCTTCTCCGTCGTGATGTGCGCTCTGACGGGCTCTCCAGGACCTTCGATCAGCTGTATCTCCATCTTTCGGATAAGGTCACACGCCATCATCTGAAGCTCCGAGTCCATGGGGGTTAAGCCAAGCTGGGATCGGTCTCGGACGAACTCGTGAAGAGCTGTCTCCAAAGGGCACATATCAAATAGCGTGTCCTGGCCTTTGATGCGCAACGATGCCATGCGGCTCTCAGCTGGTGTCCGAATAGGGCTCATGCGTGCTTGCCTCGCGCAGACCTCGTCGCCCATGACAAGATCCCGCAACCACGACGGGTGTTCTTGGTTCGTCATCGCGGTAAGTTCCGCGGCGAAAACAATCCGACAAGCCTCTATCCGCATCTCATCGTCTGTGAACGTCTTGAGCTGGTCTTCCTGGTGCTGGATCCAGTAAGAAAGCTCGCTGCGGAACAGTTCGTAGGCGTTCCTGGGACTGCCAGGAGGCTGCGAGGTTGCACTAAACGGCAAAGGCGAGTTGCGCTCGTCGTGAATGAGGTACGGGGGAATAGAGTTCTCGACCATCTCCAATACAGGCTTGTCGAAACCCCAGTCACCCTTCCAGTCAGCCATTGTGCGACCGGTCTTGAAGTGCTCGGCCAGATGATCGATTCGGAATGTCCACGTGTCCATGGCTATGCCACAGAAACCACACCGGGACCGGATCTCTGGGGTTGCCACCTTCCACTGGTCCATGGACCAGCCCATGAACTTGACGCTGTGGACAAGCTTCAGATGCTGGCGCAAGTGGTCCTTCCGGTAGAAAGTGCGGTCACCTAGCGCACGCTCCTGGCAAGCGGCGAAATTGTGCGACTCGATGTGCTCTGTGTTAGGCTCTACCTTGCCGCAGAACACGCAGCAAACTTGCTTTGTTTCGGGGTGGACGGCAGTGGCACCCTGTGGTGTGCACACCCACCGCTCCAGTGACAGGTGCAGTGACTTCTCGTGTCTCTGCCAGTCGTGTTTTGTCTTGAATGTTTCCGTACAGAACGTACATTGATACGTTTTTAGCGGTGCCACGAGAGAGGTCGGCCCGCTACGGGCATCGGTAAGCTTCGCCGCCTGCCGCATGAGCTTCTTCTCCATTTTTTTCTCTTCCCGGTCACCACCGCTACCACTGCCAACACCGCGGGAGGGCGCCGAACGCCGCCTGCGCCGTCGCCGGCCACGTTCCAGAGAGCTGAAATTGGAGCCAAACGAGTTGCGCGAGGCGTGCGAGTAAGCTGAGGCAAACGAACCGGTGCCACTGGACTGCGACGTGCCCAAACTGCTCGCCGACGATCCGTTGAAAAGGGAGCGTCCCGAGCCGTCGTCAGTAAAGTTAAGACTGAGCGGGCTGTTCAGGCCAGACGAGATAGCCGAAGCCGACGAGGTAATGGCTCGGGCAATATCGCTGACACTCGCAGGTTCGTTCTCGGGCGGTGAGTTCGCCCATCGCTGTAGCGGAATGTTCTCAAATGTCTGTGGGCGCCGATCAAATGGCGAAGGCGTGCCGCTCCGGCGCGGCTGGGGGATGTCAATTGCACCAATTGGAGCATTGGGGCCGGCGTAGGTGTTGCGCACATGCGGAGATGTAGATCGGGTGGTTGGGATTTTGCCGCGGCGGCGCGCATTGGCCAGCCAGTTTGAGATTTGGGTCTTGTTCAGGCCCGTCAGGCGCTGTAGCGATTCCTTCTCATCTTCGGTCGGGTAAGGGTGACGGCTGTGGGTTGACACCCAGTTCTTGAGAATCCGTACAGACTCCCGAGAGAAGCGGGCGCCAAGCTTGGGCTGCGCCGCGGCGAACGGGTTTGGGCTGCTGTTGCCGACAAGATCCGGCAATTCGGTCGCCGACGAGTCGGCCGGAGCCGAGGGGTAGAGCCGTGCGACGGTATCTGCCTCTTCGTCGTGCGGAATGGGGTCCGGGTGGTCGCCCAACGTAGGCCATGGGTTGGTTGGGAACGAGATATCAGTGGGCAAGGGCCCGCTGCAAACGAGTCCAAAACTGCATTCGCACCGCAGAGCCACACAGCTCGTGCAGTAACCTTTGTAGTTACCCTCCTGGATCGTTTTGCATTGGTAACCGCCCAGCTTGCAGTGGACACAAGGCTCGTCAGGAACACCGTACAGCCCGCCAGGCAAAAGGTCGTCGGCTTGGTCAAGAGGCATCGAGTCAGCGGTCGAGTTCAACAGTGACTCGACTGTGGCATCTGTTTCTGTTATGGGGGCGGCAGTGACATCATGACCACCAAGGTCGAGACCGGCAATCATATTGTTGCTCTGCTCGTAGTGCTCGAGCGCCCAGAAGGAGAAATCGTCGGCGTCAGGATTCTCAAACAGCAAAGCAGCCTCTCTGTCATTCATATGCTGGAGTTGAGGAGAGACCAACAGATGCGGAGCATCAAGGGCCTGGTCAGGGAAGAGAGGCTCGCCATCGGGTGGCAGGCAGACCAGGTCGTGGCCGTCCACCATACGCTCTGCAGCGCTTGCAGACGCATCCCAGTTGACAAAGTCATCCATGTTGCCGTCGGGTGAGCCTTCGCACTCTTCGGGGATGACGGGCATACCGCTGCCACAGGGCGCGCGTGTCCAAAGCGGCGGCGAAGAAGGGCAATGCTAAGCCGAAGGTGTAACGAAACGCTAAGAATTGGCAACAGGCCAAGGGCGTATGACAATGAGAAACAAAAAATAATGGGGAGATGTGTCAAAAATGAGTAAGAAATGAGGTAAAAGACAGGCCCAAAAGGCGCTGGGCGGGAAACAATAGATAGTTTGACGAAGGATGCTCGGTTGTCCAAAGCACGCCCTATGGCAAGAGCGAGCGACGTTGGCTGGGGCCGCGAAACAAAATTGTGAACGAGGCAATCGTCCCTTCCTGATTGGGATACAACGGGATGCTCCCACTCCTTGCCTTTTTCACCTGGACATATGATTCCAGTTCGAAACAGAAAAGAGCAGCAAATACACAAACGCAGAAGAACACGATGGGATGGAGAATAATGAAAATAGAAAGAAAAGAAAGATTAGACAGGAATTGAATTACGAGAGAAGTATAGAGAAGTGTACAGCGGAAAAGAACGAAAAAAAGACTACGGGTAATACCTGCCTAGGAGAGATATGCCTGCAAGCAGGAACTACAACCGAAGTGCACATAACAACATACAATGAGAAGGAACCATCGAAAACAGCAGTAGGACCACGGCGAGGCCGTGGTGAGGAGGAAAGAGCGGCTGCTGCTGGTCGGCAAACTAGTCACTGTAGGTGCCTTCTTTCCCCCTCTCTAGTGGCCAGACCAGTACGAGGAAAGAAGGCGGAAGAAGAAAGAGCAAAGAGTGGGTGTGCCAAGAGTGGGGCTCTTGTCTGTGAGGTTGTCAACGAAAGGGCGCGGCGACCCACCCTGGCACTGACATTGAGAATAGAAGGACAATGGAACACACCAAGCGGAACCTCATCTTCGACAGGGTCTTAGCAAGCCACCCGCATGTGCGGATACGTACGCCACAGACTGTGCCCACTGGGCAAGGCTCCTCCGCCGGTTGTGAACAGTGCGAAAGTTCGACAAAGCACCACCAACCAGGAAAGAGCAACAGCGAAGGATGGATTACGCCGACTCGAGGCATCTTAGCGCTGCAGAACGAGCGGTCTGTCCTGGGGTTTTATTTCGCGGAGGAAGGTGCGGTTCAGCGCCGGAATTTGCTAGAGTTGCAGAATAAGTCGGGACTTATTTCGTAAGATACTTCTGTACAAAACCGTCAACTCCTTCCTTGTCCCGCTTTAGGTGCATGTCGTCGATCCTGGCACGCCCTTGGTCGGCCCTTCCTATTTTGACGGCGGGTGGAGATGCCTTTAAAGGCAAAGGCAACTATCGAACGCTCCGGAGACATAAAATACATGGCAAGACACGTTTGGGTCGTGCTTGCCTCGCGCGTGCATTTTACGAATTCTGCCGCCATGTGCCAGTCTTTTGAAATAGACGTGATCATCCCACCACTTTCTACTGAGCACACGACAATTTACTCCCCCAAACGACCGACCACATTCGCTCCGATTTATTGATGCGTCAGCCCGCACTCAGCAACGAAGTTTCCTGCAGGCCAATGCGGCAGCCAGGTATCCGCGTGGAAATGCATCCCCTTCGCTGTCTGTCACGACCTGATCCATCGTCCCCTTCAAATCTCAGTCGGCAACCAGAATTCAACGTGAGATCGTGTGCCAGTTGATTACTTATCCACCCGCAAACCAAACGAGAGAAAAAAAGCAGGCTAGAGCGCCCTGCATCAGGCCGAGGCTTGAAACCCCAGCGTATGCGGTTCCCCATTCTACCGAACTAATCGTCAGCTGAATGGGGCCCCTCTTTAGGGTCCGAAGCCGCAGGCCCGTCTGTGTCCAATGCACACCACCCCAAATCACGAAATTGCAGACAAAGAACGTCAAGCGGACTTTACGAACATTGCATGACATGTAGGCTGGATCTGCGCCGCAATCCAATGGTTCTTCCGTGCGCCGGCTCGCGACCTGGCAAACTCCGAGTGTATGAGTTCCGGCGCTCCTTTTCAAGTGCAAATGGCGGTCTAGACCAGCTTTGCCGCCATAGTTAATGTCTAGAGGCTGCCATGTCCTCCCCTGCTCGATATACCGATATGGACAGGACACAACCTACGGCCAAGATAATACAACATGGCTGCGGCCAACCGCCGCACGCGAAGGCAGACCTGATGGCTTTCCAATAGCGAATATTCTGCCGAACACCAACTACCTCGTGGACGACTTGGCGCTCACACAAGCTGACATGAACCGTTGCGATCGAAAGAAGAGCAAAACTACAAGTGATTCTCCGTCAAAGAATAATTGAAGCACCATGGGCGGTACAATGTTTCACTACAAGGAGTATATTCGCACGCTCTAAACAAGAGATCACTCCATTGTGAGGCTTCTTGTGAAATTGAGCGAAAATTCTCTGAAATCGGATATCAAGACCAAAAATATTGACAGAAGACGAATAAGAAAGGTACAGAAAGAGAAGAGAGAACGACATAAAACAGAGCCAAAGTTGGTTAGTGTCCTTGCAACCACGCCCAGTGGTTCAACCGGCTGTCGAAAGGCTGGAAGCACAAGTTCGAAATATCTCGTCAAATCGACACGGTTGCTGTATGTATGTCGGCGCTGATGCTAGCCGTCGACAGGCATTTTGCGTTACGCGGTGCCGGCTTGAGGGAGCAGCTGCGCAGTGCCTTGCAGCAGACGGTGTTCTTCGTCGTAGACAAAGGGATGAAGCAGGCGCCGCCACGATGCTACTTTTTGATGGATTAGGGGTGGTTCGGAACGGGATGAGCGTGACTCCTCTACAAGGGGCGGAGTTGGAACGTCAAAGAGTAGGGGATGGTCTGTTGCGTCTTCAGAAAGCAGATGCCCCTGCCCCGGGAGTTCATGATACTGGTGGCCGCAGAATCATGCACCTATTTTACGAGAAGCGGCAGACGGGTCTTTCCGAATATGCGAGGGCGGCAACAGACATCACATCCTACTATGAACCATCATATTATGGAGTCTACAGCCTAGCATGGCGACAGTGATAGCGACAGGCCAGCGGAACGAGAAAGAGAAGAAGAGGCTGCTCGTGACTTGACAGCGTGGTGCGCTTGGACAACAAGCATTTTTGACAGGTTTTGCTATATCCCCGGCTGACAATAAACTTATGACACTTCTCTAGGAAACCTTGACCGCGCGTCGTCCCTACTTATCCATTTGCGATGCATGTGGAAACACACAAGAGATAAATGGCAGTCTAGTATTGCCACAAATCACTTAGAGACGCTGTGGCGCCCTTAACATCGAATCAGGAGGTGGTAATAAGCACTGCTACCTCTTGAAAAAAGCCATGTTTTGTCCCAAAAGTCTACTGGAATGGAAGTAGATCAAGCAAGATACCACCTGGTCTCTAGATTCTCTCTCCGTCAACCCCAGACATCGTTCTAGGCCACTTCTCGTTCTCATCGACATTTCGTAAGCCATGCTGCCATGTCCTTCACAGGGATATTAGCATTTTTGTTGCTGTGTGACGTGACTCAGGCAGGCAAAGGTTTAAATGTCGCATATTCCTGCTTCCGCCTTAAAGGTTAGGGACTGCATTGAAAGACGGACAGAAATCAATTGACTATGAACTTGTGGTTATAAAGTGTGTTTGTGACAGAGACGAGTCAGGCCAGTTACGGCTACGAGCTTGAAGAAAAGTGTTCAAATGCCCTACGGAACTTATGCCCCTGCAATCTTCCCAAGCGGGCTAGGTGATGACGAAGCCGAGCAATAAATGCAGAACGGATACAGCACGGAGACAAACAACGCATTTGACATTATGGGTGCTCCCCCGTGACTTGTCAGCCGAAAACTTTGACAAAATCAAGATGGATGATTCGTAAGGAATGCGTCTTACTGCAACCCAGGTGGAATGAGCGTCCCAATCATCATCTTCCCTCAGCCTTGCACCACAGCCTTGCGAACCGACACGATTAAGCTTATTTGCTTAGGAGGTTTTCCCTTGCATTTGACATTTTGGCAATTTGGCAACTGCATTCCAGTTTATAGTTTTTGATTAATCATCACTAACATCAACGGCAAGACTTGTGTTGCCGCCCTTGCTCGGCTACGATACCGCCGTTGGTGTTTCGTATCTCGCTTTCATTTGGGCGGAGTAGCAATGCACGACGGCGGTCGGTGTCAATTCCTTGCCGTCTGCCTTGCGCTGCAACGACTGCACCGATTGGCGCTTGGCGAACTGCAACAAGAGGCAGAGCCGGGAACACCAAAAGAGCCTGACGCGACGATGATGGTTGGACCGTCTTACTTTGCCGTGAAAAGCTGCTAGTGCGGTACTTGTTATACTAACAATATTGTGCCAAATACAATGTACCGACATATCAAACATGCTTAAGTGTTATGCTAGCAGGGGTGCGTCTTTGTTGAAAGTTGATATCAGGCCCTGCGAAACGCCTTCATATTTGAAAGCCAATCTGCCCGCATCGCCATGATGGATTTAAATCGCAGAGCCTCCATGCATGGACTACCATTCTGCTCAGCAAGCTGCAACGCTCATTTCTTCCTTTCCTCACCTTACCTCTAATTTGGCTTATTTCCTCCTGGAGCTCATCCCACCAGCGCGAGTCGCAATGTCGAGATCGGCGCAAGGCTGGACAGCCGTGCCTGCTAAGGAGGATGTGCCACCGGCCGTATCCGCATCCCGGCCCGCAAAGTCAGCACAATCCGCAACATCCACATCTTCGTCAAGTGCCGCCCCAAAGACCCGGCAGCGCATACACAAGCCGCCAGAGCCGCTGAATGTGCCGGACATTGAGGAAGATGCCGCCGAGCGGAAGCGTGTGCTGAATGTGCTGGCACAGAGGCGGTACCGTACGTCGCGCCCTTTTCCTTTTATTCCTCTCTTTTATTGCGTCCGTTGCTAACATTAACAAGGAGAACGGAGGCGACAAAAAAAGGCAGCCAAAGCGGGCGCAGCGGAGCAACCGCCCGAAGTCCCCGTTGGCGATGCAGAGATGACCGATGCGCACGTGGTCGACCTGACGGCGATCGACCCCGCACTCACGGGCAGCAGCAGCAACGACTCGAGCCCCGATGTGGACGAGGCCGCCGCGTTTATGGATCTGCCGGCCGCGTCGTCAGCAGGGTTCATCGAGGACACGGTCACGTCGTGTCCGCTCGCCGACCTTGACTTGTCGGCCGAGAGCATGGCGCTGGCGCCGTTTGAATTCGACCTCAGCCTCAGCACCAGCCTGGCGACCATGGCAGCAGCACGGGCAGCCGAGACGGGCTCGTGGGGCATGGGCACGGGCGCCGTGATCCTTGACGAGGCCGCCGAGGGAGAGCACAACAACGCCATAGTGACCACATCGTCTGCGTCGGCGCCGTCGGCCACACAAATGACCGTCGTCAACCCCCTGTTGACGTTTGGCACCACCGCCAACAGTGCATTCACCGATCTCAGCAGCGTCTCCCTCTGCTCATCGTCCTATGGCATCTCATCCTCGTCCAACTCGTCCGTCACGGACCCCCTCTCGCCCACCTCCTACTACATCCCCGTCACCGAGCTGACGCTGCTACGCGCCGTCATGCGCATCTCGGCGCGCCTCGGCTGTACGGAGGAGATGTGGCAGATTGACGGCCAGTCCCCGTTTGTCGAGAATAGAAAACCAAAGAAAAGCAGCGGCCCAGACGCAAATACCGAAACGTGCCTCTCGCCACGCAACAACGAAGACAGCCTCGCACTGTTGCCGCCCAACTGGCGCCCCACCCGCGTCCAGCGCGCCGTCCCACACCACCCGGCCCTGGACGTCCTGCCGTGGCCCTCGGTCCGCGAAAAGCTCATTGGCCTCTTTAATATGCCCCTCGACGAGCGGCCCCCGATTGCCGCCGACCCTCTCGCCCTCGTTCATCTCATCTACGATCTGGAGGACAGCGCCGAGGGCCTGCGCATCTGGGGCTCCGACCCCTATGACCCCACGAGCTGGGAGGTTGGCCAGCTGGTCTTTGAGCGGTGGTGGTTTGTCTTTGACCGAGACATTATCGAGCAGAGCAACCGCTGGCGTCAGCTGCGCGGTGCGTCACGATTGCGGCCCGTGCGGACAGACACGCGCACCAAGGGCGTCATGGACATGATTTGGGCCTGAGGCAGATTGGTGCATCAAGGAATGGGTGCACAGGAATAACGAAACGAGACACAG